CTGAGGGACCCCCCATCGAAGGTGAACAACAGAGGACATAGAGGAGCCAAAACGAACAGAGAATCTTCGGTCTATCAAATATGATCTAAACCAATTTAGTACTGTTCCTTTCAGTCCCACATCGTATTCGAGTCTAGACAAAAGAATATCGTGGCCCACCATATCAAAGGCAGAACTAAGATCTAAGAGCATTAAAATTATAGTATATTCAGCATCTGTTGTCAGATAGATGTCATTAAAAACCTTCAAAAGTGTTGATTCAGTACTGTGGAGTGCTCGGAAACCGGATTGAAACTTCTCATATATAGAATGTGAATTTAAATAAGAATGCAGTTGGTTTGATACAACTTTTCCTAGAACTTTTAAAATAAAAGGCAAATTGGAGATAGGCCTATAGTTATTCAGAATAGCAGGATCAAGATCTGGCTTTTTAAGTGATGGAAGAACTAAGGCATTTTTGAGATCAGCTGGGAAGATCCCTAAACTAAGTGATTTATTAACCCTTTAAAGCCTGACACATTAAAAAAATGGCAGAAAATTATATATTTGGAAATTAGATGTTTATTAAGCCTTGAATGTCTTTGTTTATGCAGTATTTTCAATTTGGATATTTTTAGACTTCTCTGTGCATGCTCTTGGATATTTTTAGACTTCTTTGAGGGGTAACCCATAGACCTCCATTATATGACTGATAGACACGAACGGTTTGACCTAAAAATATCCAAATTGAAAATACTGTGGAAACAAAGACACCAACATCTTGGATGCCCTTGGGGTAAGCTAAAACATATTAAAAATTAATTTCAAAGTGAACTATCCCTTTATTGGTGCTTTATGTCTGTAATGTCAAATTGCAGTAATGTTATCTACTTTATGACTACCACAAAGTGAAATAAAAGGACTGGAAAAAAGATCTATGTTAAAAAAAGAGAGAAAAACAGACAAAAATGTTTTATGTTTTCAAACTGTTAAAGGCATCTAAAATATACACTTTTTTGTATCTAAAATATACACTGTATAACTATACACTGTAAGCAAAACGTTCCCTAAAAGCCTGATGTATCAAATTTGATACACAATTTCCAACACGATTTACTTGTAATTTAACAATTAAATTATTAAGTAATTATGCATTATTTCAATTCAGAAAGTGTTCAATTAATTATATCAGGCACAATCCAATATTATTTTTTAACTTAACAACTTGAAATTAGCCTTTATTTTCCTGCTGAAATCATCTGGCTTGATCCAATCGCGGCGGCCATTTTGAAAAGCTAAAAAATCACCCCTCTACTGCCTGCAGTACAGTGAAATTCCACAAGATGGCAGAAAACACGTATGAAAATAGATACAACAGGTTTTCAAAGAAAGTATTGCTCTCACCCATTTAATATATGTCTTAGAAACTCGTGTATCAAATATGATACGTGCGGCATTAAAGGGTTAACAATAGTAAGTAAGCTTGATCCTATTGTGTTAAAAAGTTGTATTAGACTACGAGGTGGAATAATGTCTAGTGAACAAATTGTAGGTCTAAGATGGGTAATAATTTCTTGTAGTTGTAAGATAGATATAGATTCAAATTCATGACAGACTGAAGAGCATGGAGACAGCATAAATGTAGTGCTTTCAGTGTCCTAATTGTTCTGAATTTCGTCAGTACCTGGCCTTTGATTTTCTATTTTATTAGAAAAAAATCTAAGAAAATCATCACCGTTTAGGTGGGAGGGTACCGGATATGCTTTGGTAGGTGGATTTAAAGCAGAGTTTATAGCAGAAAAGAGTAACTTTGGCTTTTGTCTGTACTTTTCAGTTATTTGTGAGAAGTACAGACTTTTTGCCCTCCTAACTGCAGTTTGAAAGTCAGATAAGGCATCTAGTAATACACCTGAAGTCTATGCTTTCTCCACCTTCGCTCAGCCTGTCTACATAGCCGTCTAGTACAGTCTCGTTCAGCCACGGCTCAGTCTTTTTCTTTAAAGGAAAACTCCACCGTTTTTTGAAATAGGGCTTATTCACATCCTTTCCTACATTTAGATATGTGTGCAAATGCATTTTTGTCTCAGTGCATGCATTGTTTTATTTTGACAGGGTCGGCGCTAGCTTAGCTTAGCACAATGAATGGATTCATTTGTTGCCAGCTAGCATGTCCTGAGTAAAAGTGATTAAAAAAAATAAACAAACCCACTGTAACAAAGTTCAGGGAAGAAGGAGGCAGGAACCGGATAATAATAATAAAATAAAACTTTATTTAAACAAAATAAACAAACAAAATACCTGCCAGCAGCCCCTCACGGACGACTGCTGGCTACCGAAAATAAAATATAAAATACCGGCCAGCAGCCCCTCGCGGACGACTGCTGGCTTACCAAATAAAATATAAAACACAAACAAAAGCAGGCCTGTTCCTCTCTCGATCATCCACTCCGTCGCTCCCCCTTTATGGCTCCGCTCCTTCGTGAGAGATGCGAGACCGGTGTGCCTCGCAGGTGCTGCTCATTAGCAATCGCACCACCGGCCTCGCGACTTTCTCTCACGTCCCTCGGCCGTCCTGCTCACCACATACCCCCATCACCCCTCACAGGCCGGGGGGTACACCCGAGACTGTGCCTACTTCCCCCCCGGCGGCGGCGATCCCTGGGGGGTATGGATCGACGAGCCGAGGGAAACGGAGACGGAAGCCTGAGGAGCGACGGACACGAGAGAGGGGAGAGAGGAAAAAAAAAAAATAGTCCGGCTCCCACAACGCGCTGCCATCTTGTCCCTCACCAGCTGGGCGATCTCCTCCGCGGTGCCCGGCGCCGACGCTGGATGGCCCTCGGTGAACGCCTCGACGCTCCCCGCCCCCGGTGGACGGCGACGGCTCCTCGGGTGCCTTGGGCAGACGGCAGGAGTCCCCCGCTCCCTGCTCCTCCCCTTCACTGGCGGATGGCAGCAGGCTCCGGCCCACGGCAAGCGGAGGTGACTCCTCCTCTCCCTCCCGAACGGCAGCCGCCCCTCCATTTTCCAGGCGGTCGGCGGCGAGCTCGGGCGTCCCACTGGCAACTCATCCCAGCGCCCCGCCTCGAGCGTCCATGGCCGCGAGTCCCCCGCTCCCCGCGAGTCCCCTTATGCGGCGGACGGCAGCAGGCTCCGGCCCACGGCGAGCGGCGGCGACTCGCGCACCATGCTCGATGGCACCGCGGATTCCCCACAGCGGCGAGGACCCTCGGACAGCGCGTTCCTCCCTCTTCCCGGGTTTCGGCACCAGTGTAACAAAGTTCAGGGAAGAAGGAGGCAGGAACCGGATAATAATAATAAAATAAAACTTTATTTAAACAAAATAAACAAACAAAATACCTGCCAGCAGCCCCTCACGGACGACTGCTGGCTACCGAAAATAAAATATAAAATACCGGCCAGCAGCCCCTCGCGGACGACTGCTGGCTTACCAAATAAAATATAAAACACAAACAAAAGCAGGCCTGTTCCTCTCTCGATCATCCACTCCGTCGCTCCCCCTTTATGGCTCCGCTCCTTCGTGAGAGATGCGAGACCGGTGTGCCTCGCAGGTGCTGCTCATTAGCAATCGCACCACCGGCCTCGCGACTTTCTCTCACGTCCCTCGGCCGTCCTGCTCACCACACCCACGTAATTACTTCTTGTGTCCTGCGTATTCACAACGAGTACAAATAGCGACGCAGATTAACACTAGGCGATTTCCTAGGCAGATATTGACTTGGGACTATATTAGGGGGAAGCACAGGCGAAGCACTCCTGCTCAGGTGAAGCACTGCTACTCGGGCGCAGAGACGTCATGCAACACATGAAATCCCACGTCTTACATAAACAAACCGGTGTTCAACGCGTCAAAAAAACAGAAGAAGAAGAAAAACATAGTGGCGTGACCTGCACCGAGTGTCTTCCCTTTACGATTATTTATTTTAATTAGTTATAGCAAACATGGTAATTACATGCATAGCGAAAGGTTGTGACAACAAACAAAGAACATTTCATACCATCATCTAATGTTTCATACCATCATCTAATGTTGAACTGCGTAATAAATGGCTAGCTGCTCTGGAGATATGTACAACAACGCCACTCTCCAAACTAAAACAGTTTCGCGTTTGCGAAGAGCATTTTGGACCCAAGGATTACTATGAAAAAATGGAGTATGCATACAGAAAGACGGTTTTACGTCTGAAAGATACGGCCGTTCCTTCAATTTTCAAAACACAGGCAGAACAAAGTGCACATGTAAGTTGTATTTTATTACTCTCTTCCTTATGTTTATCTGTATCTTTATTCTGTTCTAAGATCTATGCTGAGAAGCAGTATATAGACTACGAACCTCAGGTTTAATTCCTCCTGTTTATCATGAACAACCTGTTATCGGTACCTATAAATTGAAATGACTTTGGGCTAAGTTAGCTATATTTCTCTCACAGTTACACTTAGGAGGTTTTTTATAACTACAAACATATAGACCAAAGCTGTTCAGTCTTCATTGTTTATGTAAAACACACACATACACACTAATATATAATATTATAGATCCTGTACTTTCACAGAAGATGAATCAGTTGACTGAGTAGTACATGGACACTGGTAGTAACTGTAAAGAATGTAGGCTGTAGACCTTTACTTCCAATATAAAACACTGATAGTGTCCAGGCTCTAATTTCATAATGCCTAATCAGTCCTTTGACACTACCTTCAACTTGTTCTAATGACTGGCAATAAATATCCAATATGACATTGCATTCATGTGATTTTGAATCATGTTCCTGTATGTTTTGCCGTTGAGGAGTAACACTTTTCATTTATTGTGACAACCATCTATCAGGGTGCGCTGAGTGATGTACTACAAGAGCTATCAGAACCAGAGGAATCCTTTAGCCAATTTGCGGGTTTACCACAATCAACCCCCCAGAAATCCCAAACGGCCAAGTTCAAGGTTCCATTGCCTGTGCAGCTGATGACTTCTGGTCAGATATCAACATGTACAAAGCCATGTATTGCCCTTGCACCCACATGGACACAACAATCGGTAGGCTAGTGAACCCTTTTTGATGTAATATTTACATGTACTTCATGAATGCAAAAAATACTAAATAAAATGAAATATATTTCTTTTGCAGGACATTGCGTCTTCGTCCACCATGACGGCTGTGTGCGGTTCAAGAATGAGTCTAACCTTTGATGTGAGTTGCCAAGTTTCTCTTTGATTCATGTTTGAAGTTATGAAAAGGTTACAGTTATTGTTTAGTTATTCTGCTGGCATTTACATGAAATGCGTTACAATGCAGGCATAGAGCAGTCAAATGATTGCTAGTTTACTCTTAGTCAGTTTTATGTGAGGTTACAAGCACATTGTACTCAAACACTAAAAATGCAAATGTGTGTAACAACAAAATAAATCAATGTGGATTTGTCAATAGGAAACACACAATATTGTTTCCAGTGCAATGCACCGTAAAAAAAAAATCCTAATTTCACAGAAAATAACTGTGATTTTTGACGACCATTTTCTTTCATTTTAAATTGTACTCAAAACACTGCAAAATTACAAATAATATCTGGAAAATAAAAATGCAGCTGATATTTTAGGTATTGTTACATTAAAGAAAAAATTCCAGTCATTCACATTTTTTTTTACAGTAATTGATTGTATTTTTCATACTGTATTTTTCTGTTTTCTTAAATTACATAAACATTTATGTAAAATTACAAATATAATCTGTAATTAAATGGTAACAAAACAGTTAAATGATTACATGACTGTAGCTCAAAAAACTGCAACATTAAAGTAAAACGTCATAAATTAAATAAACTGAAAAACACTGTTATTTACAGGTATTTCCTGCATTATTATGATCAAATACCTTCATTGTAAAAAAAATCATAAAAAAATGGTCAAATGACTGGCAACAAAGGCTGCCAAACAAAAACCATAAAATTAAAGTAAAATATTCAAATTTAAATAAACTGAAAAAAACACTGTTATTTAAAGGTATTTCCTGCATTATTATGATCAAATACCGTCATTGGAAAAAAATCGTTAAAAAAGGGTCAATTGACTGGCAGCACAGGGTGCCAAACAAAAACCATAAAATTACAGTAAAAATATGTTAATTTAAATAAAAATTTGACATCACCATGATTGAGATGAGTGTTTGCTTTAGTTGAGCTCTTGACCTTTATTATATGTTATTAGTTTTACTCTGCCTGCTTTAATTATGTTTTCAACATACATTTGTTATAGCATTGAAAGCGGGAGAAAATATCAGGCAGCTGATGTTGGTCAGTTATTGGTGATGTTATAGTCATCATTTGGTGACCTGATTCACTGATATGACAGAGAAATCTGTTGTGAGTGTATCTGTTGTGATTACATTGTAAATAGGTGTACTTAAGTTTTAGATTAAATCTAGGATTGTCGTATTTTTCCCATGAACCTTGTTATATTGAAACAATATTAATTAAGTGATTCATTTAGTGATGATTGAGCATTATCGAAGACACATGGCGATAACAAGCAGAATCACTGAAGGAGAAAATCACAAATTGTAAGCCACCGTTATGGCGATCAGTGTTTGCTTTAGTTGGGCTCTCGGCACTTATACTTTCACATTTTGTTTGTCTGCTGTTATTGATTTATAACAGGCAAATGAACAAAGAAAAGTGGGATCTGACAGAGTTGGTTATTTTTTGATATAATCATACTGTGATCTAAATGAAACCTATTCAGATGATTCGGTTTAACTTGTTCGCAACAGTTTAGTGGTTCTGCAGCATAAGATAATCTGTATTTTTTTATAATCCAAAACATGTAATAAAAATTGTTCTGATCAAATCCCTTTATCTTTAGTTAGAAACACAGACATCAATAATCAGCCTGTGTATCTCAACCGCGGTGAGAATAATAATCCTTGTTGCCACCAATCACAACTCATTCATGGCTCCCATCATGCATTGCGGTATGAATAAATTATGATCTGAATTGTCTATGTAATTTACTTTTCCTAATTGAATATTCTGCTCACCACCATTGTTGAGAAGCATTGACTGAATCTTGATATCTGTCTGTGCCTAAAAGACAGACTTTCTTTTTTGTACAACTTTTAAGCTATCCATTATATCATATCTCAAATTCTGGGTATTTATACAGAATCACAGTTATAATGTAACCAACAACATAAGTCACAAACATTAAGTTCAAATAATGATTGTCATAATATAACAAAAATTATTAGATAATTTTTTTTTGTTCATCTGGCAGGTATAACTCAGATGGAACAGCAAATTAAAATATAAAGTGTATAAAATAAGGGTCAAGAGCCCAACTAAAGAAAACACTCATCTCCATAACGGTGGCTTACAATTTAAGATTGTCTCCTTGTGATTCTGCTTTAGGTGTCTTCAATGATGCTCAATCATCACTCAATTAATCACTTAATTATCTCATTAACTTTAACACTCTTGAGTGTGTACTCCTGTATCCCAGGAGTGTTAAATTAACACTGACTGAGTTTTTGCTGTGACAAAGAACCGTAGTTGGCTGACAAGCTGAGCCACAGTGCATTTAAAATCAGGTGATATCACTAAGCATTCAATTACATGAAAAACATTACCATTAATAAGTGATCAGATCTTCTGAACTGAGATTCTCTTGGACTCCTACCAAAACAAATATGTATCAATTATGACACTCAGTTAAAGCAGCCAGAGAAATAGTAATATTAAAAGCAAAGGGTCAAGAGCCCGACTAAAGCAAACACTGATCTCCATTATGGTTTTATATTTGTTTATTTGTTTATTATTTTACATAAAAAATCAACTTCTAAACATCTGTCTCAGTAAGAATGTTAGTATGCAATAAATAAAGTCTGGATTCTTTCTGTATGGTGTGTTTTGTGGGTCACCATTGTGTTGAAGAGTAGAGCCTGTGCTTCAGTTCAGGATGAACAGAATAAAACTGATGAAATGCTGCATGTTCCTTTATTTAACTGACAGTAACTGTGTAATTGCTGATGCAGTGATGTATAGTGACAGAAAATCATACATCACCTACATGTTTCTTAATAAAAAGTTCAGGAAATATGTGAAATAACTGTGTTTCTGTTAAAGAGCTTAATGAAGATTTCTACTTTTGCACTTATTTAAATTAGGCTATTTTACATTAATTTGATGTTTTTTGTATGGCAGCCATTGCTGACAGTCATTGACTGTTTTTTACTATGAACTGTATTTTACTATGATCATAACAATGCATTGTTTTTATAGTTAGAGTGTTTGATCGTAATAATCCAGATAATAGCTGTAAAATAACAGTGTTTTTCTGTAAAACAACTTAATTTATATTAGGATATTTAACTTTATTTTTACGGTATGTATTTGGCACCCTTTGCTGCCAGTTATTTGACCCTTTTTTTACGATTTTATTTTTTACAGTGTGGACATCAGCTCAACATCTGCCTTAGATGTCAGCATGATCTCAGAGACAGCTACTGACCCAGAGGACATCAGTTTTGTTCCTCTGTCAAGCCCCTCCACCTCCACCACAGGAAGCTCAGCAAGTCTGTCTGGACCACACCGAGGATGGAAGGAAAGGAAGTGGATGGTAAATGAGTCCAAACTAATGGAACTCTTTCAAAAATGTACAATTTGTGGAGTAGCAATGTGCGACCTCAACCACAACATAAAAAAATTTGCCAGCAGAATACAAATCACATGGAAATGCAACAATGGACACAATGGGGAATGGGAGTCAAGTCCCAATATTCGGGGAATGGCTGAAAATAATCTCCTCTCAGCAGCAGCCACACTTTTCACAGGGGCAACGTACTCAGACATTGCTGACTGGGCTGGGCTATTGAATCTTCAACTACCACAAAAATCTGCATTTTATACCATACAGTCAAGCTACCTCATTCCTGTCATTAGCGAAGCCTACAAGAAGCAGGAAAGCATCATCAAAGCCAGACTCATCTGCCAGACTCTGGATGGTGAGGGTGTGCATGTCTGTGGGGATGGGAGGAGTGACAGCCCAGGGCATTCGTGCAAATACACCACATATTCATTCATGGATAACTCTACCAACCAGATTGTTGTTTTTGATTTGATTCAGGTAAACAAACAAACAAACAAACATAAACAGTCAATAATGGACACAAACCCTTATTAAATATGGTCTGAAATGACATTGTGTAACCTTGTCTCCCTTAGGTGACCCAAGCTAAAAATTCTGTCGCCATGGAACCAATGGGTTTCAAAAAAGGTCTGGATAAGCTTTTAGATGAAGGGATTAATGTGAAAGTGGTGACCACCGACGGACATCCCTCCATCAGGAAGATGATGCGAGAGGACTATCCGGACATCGCACACCAGTTGGACCCATGGCATGTAGCAAAAGGTTAGCCTATTAGTCTAATTACATGCACAACCCCTAATACTTATTATCCTTTGTTCACTTTGATACTCTGTGTTTGACAGGTACCATTGGAGAAAAACAATTTGTATGTGCATTGTATGGGGACCATTTTCATTCTAACATTTTTCTGTTCTAATTCAGGAATAAAAAAGAAATTGGTTATGGCATCTAACCGTAAACATTGCAAGGACCTTGCTCCGTGGGTAAGAAGCGTGAGCAACCATATGTGGTGGAGCTGCAGCTCCTCTAAAGGAGATATAAATGTACAAGCTCATTGAATAGATGTAAAATGCACAGCACAACTGCTATCATCACAGACAGTTGACACAAACAACATTATAGCACACATTTTTTCATATTCAGTTTGAAATGAATGTAATGTAATGTCCAATAAAATTCTGTTTGTGCTCTAATGTAATTATCAGGAGTTGCTTAGACGATGGACGTCCATCCTCCATCACATATGTGGTGTCCATCGATGGAAGAAAAACGGAATTGAATACAAGTGCTACCACGCTGACCTCACATCAGATGAACAAAGGAAAAAGAAATGGTTGCCTCAGGACTCACCTGCATACAAAGCTCTCTGTGAAGTTGTGTTGAACACGCGTCTACTGAAAGATCTGGAGCAAATGACGCTGTTCAAGCACACAGGTATGTCTAAGTTGTCTCTGGTCTGCACAAAGGGGCACTTTACAGCCCCCCGCCCCCCCCCTCCCTCTCCCCCCCATCAATTTTGCTTTATGTTTTAATAGGACAACTCGAGGTGTTCCACAACGCCCTGCTGAAGTACTGCCTAAAGCGCCTGCATTTTGAGTACCAATCCATGCAGGCACGCACAATGTTGGCCATTATGGACCATAATGAAAATCATGAGTCACCACGACAACCGGAAGCAACAACAAGTGGTAAGTATCAAAAATATACCAATTATAAGTTTTCCTATGAGCAATTGAATATTGTTACTTTTCATAGCTAAAACGGAGAAGTTGCACCATGTTTTACATTCCAGCAATAGAAATGTCTACTTATTTTCAAATAATATCTGGCCTTGACTTATATCTGACCAAATTAATGTTTTAGAATTAACAATGCTTGTTCTAGTAATGGATATCCGACTGAAAAACAAATTTTTATAACTTACCCATGACCATTTTAATTTCAGGCCTACAAAGACACGACATTGTGTACCAAAAACAGGCAACTTTCAGAGATGGCCTTATGGAGGATGTTGTTGAAAGAAGACTAGACCCATCCATCAAATATAAAGACTCCTCATCTCGCATTCGAGTCCCGTGTCTGGCAGCAAATATTGGCCTCTATCCAAAACCCAGCAAGGAGGATGTCATAGAAGGCCACACATCAAGATTTAAATCTTAGATTTAGACCCTCAGTTCCTTATCCAAATCATATTTGTGTAGTTTATTTTTTTCTTTCAGATGTTTATTCATAATAATAAACAACATTTTTCTCATTTTTCCTGTTTTCTCTTGTTATGGTGAATCAGCATGCACATTGACTTAGATCTGATACTTCTATGGTAAAAGCTGTTTTGTAATAGATTACCACAGTTTATTGAATCAAGTAAACAGAGATGACTGGATTCTAAAGAGTTTATTCATGATATCAAATCAGTTACAACATATTTATTGCCTCCTCTGCCTCTTGGAAGCCAATATATATACCATTCTCTGAGGGAAATTTTTTACGAATAGCAACGACCACACATGATGGCAATGGTGTTCGATTTCCTCTGCCCAATGACTCTCCCTTCAGGGCCCACTCCAGCACAACACGATAAGCCACCAACCTATATTGCCTGTGAAAACAGCAACTCTGAGTGAATACAGCAAGGTATAATATCGGTCGATCTATACTTGTGTCATGTTTACATTAATTACTTACTTTGTGGACAGCTGTCCATTTGGTCCATCCGTCGTGGGGCGTTTTTTCCAGTTCACCTTGTCACACCAGAAAAAAAAACCGAGTACTGCAGGATGGATCAGCGCCGTAAAATCCTCGGTAGCTGTGACACAACTGCGGCCACGCTCGAGGCTGGCCATCGATGGCAGTAACTGGTCCCACTCTCCACAGCACAAACACTCCATTTCAGTCGGCATAGGTTGGCATATTCCGCCACATTCACACCACCAGTTCGTATTGGCTCTCATCCTCACGTCCTCAGGCTGTTGAGCGATCTCAACCTCCTCCTCCTGTCGGTCTAACGTTAGTTCTAAAGCACGCAGCTCCTCTTCTGTAAACTCCGGTTCAAATTGGTATGGCTCTGGCTCTTTACTGTCTGAGAAGTCACCCTCTTCGTCTCTAACAAAATCAGCCATGTTCATCGCGAGTCTATTCAAGCCGGTATGTTTACGGAAGTCGTTACTCGTGGGATTTCATGTGTTGCATGACGTCTCTGCGCCCGAGTAGCAGTGCTTCGCCTGAGCAGGAGTGCTTCGCCTGTGCTTCCCCCTAATATAGTCCCAAGTCAATATCTGCCTAGGAAATCGCCTAGTGTTAATCTGCGTCGCTATTTGTACTCGTTGTGAATACGCAGGACACAAGAAGTAATTACGTGGGTTTGTTTATTTTTTTTAATCACTTTTACTCAGGACATGCTAGCTGGCAACAAATGAATCCATTCATTGTGCTAAGCTAAGCTAGCGCCGACCCTGTCAAAATAAAACAACGCATGCACTGAGACAAAAATGCATTTGCACACATATCTAAATGTAGGAAAGGATGTGAATAAGCCCTATTTCAAAAAACGGTGGAGTTTTCCTTTAAGCGTTTGGGTTTGAGTGGGGCTACAAAATCCAAGACACTTATACAAGTAGAGTTGAAACGGTAAAAATGTTCATCCAGATCAATATTCAGAAGGGAGCTGTCTAAATGTTCTTTATCACAGATGTTTTTATACATCTGAGAAAAGTTGGATGTAGTGGTTGAATTTAGTGTCCGGGACCACTGTACTGGCTTATGCATTGGAATTAACTCAAGGACCAAAGGTATAGAAAAAATTATTGGCTTATGATCAGAGAAGTTAAGTTCGCTCATTGTTAAGTCTGAGACAGATAGTCCATGTGTTAAAATCAAATCTAATGTGTGGCCCTGTACATGAGAAGGGCCATCTACCCATTGAGATAGTTCAAATGATTCCATCAGATTAACAAATTCCTTTGACAAAGAATCATTCCCACAGCAAATATGAATGTTGAAATCACCGAGGATTAACAGTCTATCATATTGTGTTACAAGTTCACTTAAAATTTCAGCAAATTCACAGATAAAATCTGTTGTGGATTTCAGAGGGCGATATATAAGTGCCACCACAACCGCATTTTCTACAGTTAATTTAAATAGCTGTAATTCAAAGCTTTTTAATGCATTGGTGGGCAGTGACTGGCAAGAAAATTTGTTTTTAAAAACAGAAACTAATCCTCCACCGCGTCCCGTCGGCCGAGGGGAGTTTAAAAATAGATAGTCCTGAGTCTCATCTATTTCACCAGAACATACCAACTATAGCCTATTCGACAGGGCCCTATAGACTGTTTGTGGACAATACATTAAAAGGTCATATTTCATAAATACAGTGCTTATATGGTCTCCACTGCACACAGGCACCACAATACAACACACTGATGTACAGTGCAGCCATTAATTGTGTGTTATTAGCCTAAAAATGGACTGTCCAAAGACAGCCAACAGGGATCCTGTCAAATAAGTTGCAGATGGGCACAATATGTAGTCCCATTGGGACTCTCTTGTGCCCACCTGCAACTTATTTGACAGGGTCCCTGTAAGCTGTCCGTAGACATGTCATTTTAAGGAATGTTATGCATAATTGTGAACTGTAAAGTACACCAACATGTCTGATTCTGTTTCCTGTGCACTGTACTGCAGGTTTTAAGCAATAAAATATGTACATTATGAATTATGACCTAATAATGCATTGACCACGAGCAGCCTATTAGGTCCCATCAAATAAGTTGCAGGTGGGACTCTCCTGTTCGTGGACAGTACATTAAAAGGGCTGCCTTTTAGGCCGTCCGCGGACCCCTTCCCTAACGTGGCAGCCTAAAGGGCGTAAGGTAAAAAATGAAGTGGACGTCAAAATCTCAAAAATGAAGTTTATTACAGCATAGCACGAAGCACCTTGGGTTCACCGGCGTCAGAATGAACCCAGAACATCCAAATCTTAAACCTTTTATCCTTAAATGTAAATTGAGGATAACAACAAAAGTGGTCCCTCTGTGCCCACATCTTTGATCTTCTTTCAAATAAGAATGGTCAAATGTTTAGGAGTAGAGTAACTTTAGAAATGTACAAATCTGTCTTGATGTAATTTCTGTCCACCAAAATACGTTACTGTTGTAAAGGCGGCAGATTTGATATGAAGTGTATGTGTGCATTGTGTAAATATTGATGGTAATGTATACTATGGAATGCCAAAGCAGACTAAATTAAAAATAAATAAATAAATACATAAATATACAAAGAAATGTAAAAAAGCAAAAATACATAAAAAATACATAAATAAATATGCAAAGATATGTAAAAAACGTTCAAATAAATAAGTATTTATACTTTTATTTCCATTTTTATGTATAATTGTTTTTTCACACATTTATTTATATATTTATTCATTTATTTATTTCCAATTTTATTTATTTCCACATTCATTTATGTCTACATTTAATTATTTCCACATTTATTTATTTTCATTTATATTTATTCCAACGTTTCTTTCTCCGTATGCTAATGAGGGGGCTGTGTTTTAACTCAGACATCAGCAATCGAGTGGCAGTGCTGAAGCTTTGAGGCCACAATGACACCTTGTGGTGTGTGACCAAACAAGAGCTGTGCAGGCAATATCACATTTTAAGTCATGTATATCCAGTGATGGGCAGTAACGCGTTAGAAGTAACGCGTTAGAAGTAACGCGTTACTGTAATCAAATTACTTTTTTCAAGTAACGAGTAAAGTAAGGGATTACGATTGAAAAAACAGTAATTCGATTACTGTTACTTCCCCATAAACAGGCTGCATTAACCGTGATTTTGTTTAGTGAGACTGTCTCGTGACATGAGTCGTGCATGAATAACAATGATGTATGAGCGGCGTGAAAGATGACTGCCAACTCTCACACAAGCTCACACGCCACACCCCCGATTTCTCGCGCTGAAGTGTCAACACGTCGGTCAGTTGCCTGAAAGATGAGTTTATCTATAAATCTAACTGTTGAGCCACATTTGTACTTGACTATTTATACCGCAAA